GTTCATATTTACAAGTTGTGAGTTAAAAATGAGAAGGAAGCTTCTGAAGGTGAGGGTTTTGGAATGAACTTCTTTCTTCACGTTTGGGAGGAATGACATGGAACATTCTTTGTTTAAGGGGCTCAGAATAAAATCACAGGCAAGAGAAGAAAAAGATAGCTGAATTTGTCAACAACAGAGAACAGATTCAGTGCTTTGAAAGCATTCTTCAGTTCACTCTGCTTCTCCTCTTTCTTTCTCTGCTCTCTTTGTCCTCTCCCCTCCCCTTGCTGGAATTTTTAGTTTAATGGAGATTCACAAGCGTGTTTTGGTGGTGTTGCCTAGCTTGGCATTGTGCAGGTCTTACATTCCTGAAAACTCTTAGGGGAAATGGATTAAATAAATATTTTTTTAAAAGACAATTCCTTCTAAAAGGGAAATCATCCTTGATGTGACATTTTACCTGAAAGAGAAATTTGATGTACTTCCAGTAGAGGATGTACTGTCCATATACAGAAAGTAACATAAACAAAAAAAATACAGTTGGTTTTTTTTTAAAGATTGGCCTTGAGCTAACATCTGTTGCCCATCTTTTTTGTTTTTTTCTTTCTCTCCAAAGCCCCCCGGTACATAGTTGTGTATATTCTAGTTGTGGATCCTTCTAGTTCTGCTGCCACAGCATGGCTTGATGAGTGGTGCTGGGTCTGCAGCCAGGATCCAAACTGGTGAAACCTTGTGCTGTCAAAGCGGAGAGTGCAAACTTAACCACTCAGCCACGGGGCTGGCCCTGGGTTTTTCTTTTTTAAGTGATGGTGTTAAATAATCATCACTTCAAATGTATAGATCCTTGACAGGTGTAATTGAAGGAACATTTGCCTAATTAGTGGGAATTTACTTCTGGCTTTACTTTTTTTCTCTCGTTATTACAGCATACTTGAAAAAAACTTATTTTCTAGGAACAAGACTCCAACCAGAAGCAAATCTGACTTGGAAAGGAAGGCCTGCAGAGGTAGAGCCCAGTGTTGACTCTCTGCTGGTTGTTGTGGCTTACTGTCCTTGTCTTTCCATTATCAACTGTGAAATGACCAGGCAGGAAAGTGTAGAGGAGACACTATGTCCTGTTCCTTTAACCCGCAAAGCAGACAGCGTTAGGATGTTATCTTCCTGACGGTGGGAAGGAAATATAAAGAATAGAAGAGCCCCAAACACTATGACTAACATGGGTAAGGAATCTGTATTTCATTATCAGAAATTATCTAGATAGATTTGAAAGCTGTTAATGATTATGTGGGAAAATAGATTAATCAACAGTTTTTCTCTGTTTAATCATGTAGAGATGAACATGTAAATGTGGTACTAGATGCTTTCTTTCCTGATTTTGCTGCTAAACCCATTGTCTTTCCTTTAAAATCAGATCCCTTGTTAGCATATTTCTGCTTCAGCTGATGTCACCTTCATTTGCTGGTGACTGTTCACGAAACCTTGAAGGAGGACTCGAGTTTTGCCCGCACCTCTTTACCGTAGCCCTGATGATTTTTCTTCCTCTTGTGTATGGTCCTTCCTCTGAATTCCTGCTGTAGCCACCGTGGATCAGGCCCCGTGGGCTATTGAAATTACCTCCTAGATCTTCTACTGCCACTGTGCCCACCCGCGCATTCTACCCCCAGTTGGTTCATTGGCATTGAGTTACAAGATTAATCCTCCTAAAAATCCCCCACTCTGCTCTGCTTGCTTTCCTGTCTCCTAGGCTTCAGAAATCATAAATGGTCTCTAGTTCAGGAGTTCCCATCCAGGTGTGTGGAGAGTTCCTTTACCTTCGATTTAAGCTTTGAGATCATTAAGGGGATTTCACTGGTGCTAATAAACAGGGGTGTCCTTTTCCCTGGTTAGGGGGGGGGGGGGGGGGGGGGGGGCTGTGCTTACAGAGTTCGATTGATGGAAAAGGTGCTATTCTCTTCCCTGTTGGCACCAGCAAGAAAGAAGTATGGTGATGACATCCAGCTTGGAGGTCTGTTAAGTAAACCTTTGAGGTCTGCTGGGAGATTTGAGTCTCCTTGCTAAAGGCCTATGAGTATACACTATTTAGTTGTTTTTCATGCCTTTTGACAGCCTGGCACCTGTTGTATTCTCCAAGTTTGTTTTCCTTTAGTTACTTAGAGGAAACTCCTGCTGCAGCTAAAATGTTCTTTTTGTTTTCTGAATACAAACATTCCCATTTCCACACCATTGATTGTGATGTGCTGGATGCCCTTCTCCTCTAAACCATACACTCTTCTCAGTATTCCTCCCAAACATTTCTTTGTGATCACCACTACCATGAATACTGCCTGAACTTCTGAAATTTAATTTAGTAATACTAATTATTGTTTTTGTTTATTCTCTAAAAATTTATTGAGGGCCTGTTATGCATCATGGTGGTCTAGTGGTTAAGATTTGGCACTCTCCCTGACATGGCCCTGGGTTCGTTTCTCAGTCAAGAAACCACACGACCTGTCTGTCAGTTGTCATACTTTGGCAGCTGCATGTTGCTATGATGCTGAAAGCTATGCCACCAATATTTCAAATACCGGTAGGGTCACCCATGGTGGGCAGGTTTCAGCAGAGCTTCCAGGCTAAAACAGACTAGGAAGAAGGACCTGCCCACTCATTTCCAAAAAAGTTGGCCATGAAAACCCTGTGAACAGCAGTGAAGCATTGTCTGATACAGTGCTGAAAGGTGAGAGGATGGCGCAAAAAGACTGAGCAGGGTTCTGCTCTGCTGTACGCAAGGGTGCTAGAAGATGGAATCAACTTGCTGGAACTAACAGCAAATTGTGTATCAAGCAGTATGCTGGAGATTCTACTGAAAAAAGACAATTTCTTTGTCCTTAGTAGTTTACATTTTAATGAGAGAAACAAATATACCACCAAGTACAATCCAGTGAGATCATAAAGGATTCAGAAGAGTCAAGTAATGTAATTTGGGATGGGGAGGGAGCGGTCAGGGAAGTTTCCTGTAGGAAAGTAATTTTCAGAACTAAAATCTCCCATTTTATGGCAGTATATTTTGATCCATCTAGTTTTAATATTTAAAACTTTTTTTCCCCTTGTTCTTAAATGTTACCTTTGTAAACATTTATATCCCTAACGGATGTGGCAACCGCTGGTTTCTGTCTTCTTAATAATGGCTTTCCAAATGCTGGACCAAGAAACACCTTTCAGCTCTCTCTCTAGACAAAATAAACCTAATTTCCTCACAGGTGCCGCAGCCCTATCACTGATGATTTGAAATTTTCATACTGTGGAGTCCAAAAGAGCGCACAGATGGTGCAATCCAAAAAAGCAAATTCCTGGGATTTTGTTACAACCAGATTTGTAGGTTGGGTGGGGCCTCAGGTTTTGTATTTCTAAGAAGCTCTTTGGTGATGCTGAAGCTGACTGAGTATGTTTGAGTAACAGGGTTTTAGAGGATGTAAAGAGGTAAAGAATTAAGATAAAAAACAAGTGAATGTATGTTTTCTTCTCTATATATGGATGGATCCTGCAGTCTGTACATCCTGTTAACCCTCATTTACTCTCACTAATCTCAATCAGCTAATTACCCAGCTGGGTTGGGCCCATATCCCTGCAACCCAGAGACAGTGAATCTTGCTAATGATCTGACTGGAAAGCTTCCGCCCTTCGCTCCCCACCCCACACTCGGGAGTGAGTCTCCTCCGTGTCATGGGGAGCTGTGATAAGGTGTGCACCCAGCTCCTTGAGGCTGTGCTATGATTCCCTGAGGCGCCCCAGCACTGAGTAATAGGAAACCCCGTCTTTGGCAGAGGGAAGTGTTCCTTTTGGCATTCTGCCTCCATCCAATTGGATTGTGTAACACTTGGGCTCAAGGAATGGCATCTGAGGCAAGTCTGTATCCTGCAATGTATAATCAGGAACTGGCAGAAAATTTATCTGTGGCTTTTAAGATTCCAGTTAGAAATTCTCATAACTTGTAGGAGCCTTGGCAGTTGAGTGACCTGCCCATGACCTGCTACAGGGGCCTTCTAGAGTGAATTGCAGCTGTCTATTCTGCCTGTTTCCCCTGATGATTTTCTGTGGCTCTTTTACTGACTCTTCTATTTTACAGACATTCTCGTAGACTACAGACAGGAAGGCAGTTGCTCCAGGCAATTTGTTCTGAGTCTTTACAATCAGAGCTAGAAAGAATTCTTTTCTGTCTTCTTCTTGGGGAACTTTTCTATGGAATTCCCCCCACAGAATGGATTGCAACAGTGGCTTTTAGATTCAAAAGATCTGTCTTGATCAAACAAAGTAGGAAATGTTGATGACGTCAGGCTGGTGAGGAGGGGTTGGTACATGACCTGTGGTTTTCAAATCTTAGCATATATCTCCTAGGGGCCCTGCACCCCTAGAGTTCTGATTCAGTAGGTCTGGAGCAAGCCTGAGAATTTGTGACATCCTCGTTCCTTCTCATGTTTTATGATGTGGTTACATGAAAGGCAATTGATAATAACCAGGAAGGTGCGCACATATTCACAAGAGCACATTTATTGTTGATTGTGATCACCATCATTACCTTCCAATTCTCGTAGATTTGTGAGTTGCCATTTAAAAAACAAAACAAAACACTGAAACCCACCTCTTGTAATGTTCCTGTGTAGCCAGTGCCCTTTTGTAATAACCCAGCCTGAGTCCTGTGAGATTTCTTGGTTTGTTCTAGTAGAGACCTGATGTTCTAAAGTAAGGATACTTGGAAGCATAGGATGGGGGCAGCTGGGAAACTTACTTCTAACCCACCTTCCTATCATGAAAATACATGTTTTTTAAGATGATCCATTTTAAACCCCAAATCAATTTGGGTTTTTGACAACTGAGATGGGGAAAAGAAAGGGGAAGTTTGGTTGATCTGGCTATTTCCATCCCTCTAAATCCCTTAGGTGTAACCTACTTACATCACATGAATAAGATGATTGATTCTGCTTGTTTGTTTTGGTAGTATTCCTTGTTATTAAAGGTGACTAATGCGAGACTTTCTATTAAAGCAGTTCTGGAGCATCCCAGGAGGGACACAATGATCTGGATCTTGGGCTTAGTGACCTTCCTTCGGATGAGGAGGAAGTCATCAACAGCTCTGACGAAGACGATGTCAGCTCTGGTTCTAGTAAAGGGGAGCCTGACCTGCTGGAAGATAAACAGGTATATTTTGATATTTAATTGTTTCTACTTTTGGTTTGTTGCCTCTGACGACACTTGGAAGTAACATTTATCAACATGATAGGCACAAAATCCTTAGTTTTCTTAAAACTGATAAAACGTTTTTCTAATTTAAATATAATTCATGCTATAATATGATGCCTAAGATGTTTTCATATTTCCAAGCACATATCACTTAGAGATTACTTAGTAATTTTTGAGAATTATTTTTGGTAATGTCCATTGCTTTTGGTTTTTTAAAATTATTTTATTGAGGTTGCATTGGTTTATATCATTGTGTAAATTTCGAGTATACCTTATTTTATCTTAGTTTCCGTATAGTCTACATTGTGTTCACCACCAATAGTCTGGTTTCCATCCACTGCCGTACATATGTGCCCCTTTACACTTTTCGCCCTCCCCCAACTCTGGTTTTCTTTTTGATAACAGAAACTCCTCTTAGGATTGTTTCCTGTACTGCTAGTAATTCTACTTGAAAGAAAGGCAGTAGATGCATTTCAGACCCAATGAAATCTTTCTAGGGATAGAATAAAGATTGCTGTTAATAGTGTATCAGGGTTTGCTTTGAAATAATCCAGTATGTGTATATTTCCAGTTTACATGAAACAAGACCGTCCTTGTATTGATGATTAAGATGTGTCACAGGTCCATGGGGGTTCATTATATTGTTTCTCTAGATTGACATGAATATCTATTTCATTTTAAATCATATTTCTTTGAATAAAGATAGAATTGCAGGGAGAAAATTAGGATATCAGCAATATCCCCAGAATGTGTTGGGATATTACAGCAAGATGGAATTTGAAAGAATCCACATAGCAAGCATATCAAGCCACAGAGAAAATACATGTCACCTAACTTCTATGCCATAATTTATCAATCTATTATGCTTCCTGTTTAATATGCTTTTCCTTTGTTTAAATTCATTTTCAGCCTTAAATGAATTGCACATGTTGTGTAATTGTCTGCATTTAAATCACAGCTCTACTACCTGTGATCTGGGTAATCTTGGGCAAATTATTTAACTGCTTTAGGCTAAAGAGCCCTATTTTATGAAGAAAAGAATAGTACTTATCTCGTAGAATTGTGAGGACTAAATGATTTGTAAAGTCTTAGAATACTGTCCAGTACATGGTAAGAACTTAATGATTGTTTATTATTTATTGCTTGCAAGACTTCATTTCTGTGCTGTAAAGTATTGAATCACGGTGTTGGGAGTAACCACAAGAAATTATTTAGCCTAAGGCAAGTGAGTTTTAAGACTCCTAAGACAGATGAATGACTGTTTTTCTTAAAGACCCGTAGCATCCCTCAGCAGTGTATGGGTTTTACTTTGACTGTCAAGTAATTCCTCCTGTGTTTTATTGGTATCTGTCTTGCTCTAATGTGAAAGTTCATTTTCCTTGTTGCTTCTTCACAGAAATAGATTCTACAAATATTTATGGAATACCCACTAAGTTCCAGGTACTGTTGGTATGTAGTAGACATGAAACTGTCCTCAAAGTCCCTGCTCTTGAAGAGCTTACATCCTAATGGAGCAAGAGAGACCGTAAATGCACAAGCAGTAAGAACTTCAGAGTACTACATACTGTAAAGTGTGTAAAACAGTGTGTGCTAGAAATTGGAGACTACTTAGGATTAAAACCTTTAGAAAATGATATTTGACTGAGACCTAAATTATTGGCAGGAGCCAAAGCTTGCAGAGTTTGGGAAAGAGCCTTGAAATGGTCTTCCTCTCAAAGGGCCATGATTAAATCAAGCTTTACTCTCTTTGATCAACAAAACTTCTTTCTTTTCCTAACAAATACTGTTTTCTTTCCTTATGGTCTATTTGTTTATCTTGCTGAGACCCTCTGCAATTTCTCCCCATACTTCTTGAAGTATAGTGACCAAAATTGGTTTCCACACTCTCCTTGGAATCTCACTGAACGTGGCATAAGGGAAGGATTAATCTCTGACCTTTTCGTGTTATGCGTCTTTCCAACACATCCTGTCATAACGCTGCCCGGTTGACTCATTCGTTTTGTGGTCATTGGAGACTTCCAGGGTTCCTTCCTCTGCATTTGTGCCTGCCTTTCCTTTCCCTTCCGGTATTTATGTTATTGGTTTTTTTGTCTTTAGTTGTGCCACATTGCAATATCTGTTAAATCTTTATCTGTTTTTAAAATGAGATCTCTTCAGTTAATTCTGGACGTTTAATGTTTTTGTACCTGATGCCAGTGTATTCATAATGTGCTTCCTTTAGAATTCTCAGCCACTCTGATGAGTTTGCTCTCTATTCATCTGAGACCTCAGTAGCAATAATAAAATAGACTACTTCTCCCTGTCTAGGCAGTTGTTAATCCGTCTAAACGTAGCCTTACTTTTCTCTTGAGTAATTGGCTTTCATAATGGTTAACAAGAACAGTCTTTGGAGCCAGATTGCCTGGGTTCTCACCACTTACCAGCTCTGTGATTATGAGCAATTTACTTAACTTCTCTGTGCCTTAGTTTCCTCATATGTAAAAAGAGGAGGGAGCAGGGTAGACATTTTTCCTGATTTTCTAGGATTGTTGTGCTGATTAAATGATTATACACTATTTAAAACAGTACCTGTCAAAGTGAGTGCTCAGTAGATTTTAGCTATTACTATTGGCTTATATGAAAAGAAGCAAGCAAAATCTTAAGCATCTCAAGTCAAACTTTATATAACCTTACCAAATAAATATATATTGTTTCAAGTTTGCCATTTCTTATCTTTGGATTAATCAATCTGAAACGTGTATATGAAGGGCTGTATTGTGTTCTAATGGAAAAATATGTCATTTGACATCCTAAGACCCATGGTTTAATCCCAGCTCTGCCAATTACCAGCACATGACTTTGGTCAAATAATTTTTTTTTTTTTAGCCCTTAAACAGATTTTTTTTTTATTGTTAATATTATGGTAGATTACAACCTTGTGAGATTTCAGTTGTACGTTATTGTTATTCATGTTGTGGGTACACCACTTCCCCCTTTGTGCCCTCCCCCCACCCCCCCTTTTCCCTGGTAACCACCGATCAGTTCTCCTTGTCAATATGTTAACTTCCACCTATGAGTGGAGTCATATAGAGTTCGTCTTTCTCTGTCTGGCTTATTTCGCTTAACGTAATACCCTCGAGGTGGTCAAATAATTTTTAAAGTCAATTAGCTTATTTACATGACTCCCATTCACAATGGACTTCAGGTACCCAAAAGAAAAAATTTTATGTAATAAGAAATGTCAAAATATATAGTTAAAGAAGTCAAAGTGTTAATAAATACTGCTGGAATTACTGGTTATCCACATGAAATAGAATCATGTTAGATCCCTTCCTTTCACCATATACAAAAATGAACTCCAAATGGATCATGAACTTAAATGTGAGAGCTGGAACTGTAAAATTCTTAGAAGAAAATATAAGTAACTCTTAATGACTTTAGGTTAGACAAAGGCTTCTTAGATAAAAATAAATTGGACTTCATCAAAATTAAAAACTTTTGTGCTGCACACAGTGCTACCATCAAGAAAATGAAAAAACAACCCACAGAATAGGAGAAAATATTAGCACGTATCTCTGATAAAGGTCTTGTATCCAGAATATGTAAAGAACTCTTACAATTCAACAGTAAAAAATGAATAACCCAATTAAAAAATGGGCTAAGGATCTGAATAAACATTTCTCAAAAGAAGATATACAGATGGCCAATAAGATATACAAATGGCCATGAAAAAATGCTCAACATCATTAGCCATCGAGGAGATGCAAAGCAAAACCTCAGTTAGCTATCATTTCATACCTACTAGGATGATTATAAAATAAAAAAGACAGACATTAACAAGTGTTGGTGAGGATGTGGAGAAATTGGAACACTTACACACTGCTGGTGAGAATGTAAAATGGTGCAGCCGCTTTGGAAAACAATCTGGCATTTTCTCAAGAGGTTAAATATAGAGTTACCATGTAATCCAGCAGTTCCACTTCTTGTTATATACCCATAGGAAATGAAAACATACGTCCATACAAAAACTTACATAGGAATGCTTTTAGCCACATTATTCATAATAGCCAAAAAGTAGAAAGAACTCAAATTTTCATCAACTGATAAATGGATTCATGAACTGATGAATAAACAAGATGTAGTTTATCCATACAATGCCATATTACTCACTAGTAAAAAAAAATGCTAAAACATGGATGAACATGTTGAAACATAGATGAATCTTGAAAACATTAGGCAAGTGAAAGAAGTCAGTCAGAAAAGACAACATGTTGTATGCTTCTATTTATATAAATTGTCTAGAATAGATACATCCATACAGACAGAGAGTAGGTTAGAGGTTGCCAGGGGCTGGGGAGAAAGTAGGATGGGGAGTGACTGCTAACGTGCAGTTTCTTTTTAGGGGGATGAAAATGTTCTAAAGTTAGATGGTACTGATAGTTGCACAACCCTGAATATATTAAGAAACCATTGAATTGTATACTTTAAAGGGGTAAAATTACATTTTATGGAATGTGAATTACATCTCAATAAAGTTGTTTAAGAAAATAAGAAATCTCGCTAAAAGGAAGACAATAGCGCTAAGTGTACGATTAGTACACAGTAATGCATATCATATAATCCCATTACGTCAGCCAAGGATGGGCCACACATTTGGCTTTTAGCAGCCCAGGTAAAGAAGGCGATAGCAGATTCCAAAAGAAAACTTCTTTGGAGTAGAAGCATAGGAAGAGAGCTTCTTTTATAATTTTTTTGACCCTCAATTTCTCAGTCTATAAAATAGGACAATAGTATTAAATGAGTTATTCTAAGGCTTAAAGAATAACAGTCGCAAAGCCACTTGGAAAGTCAAGAAAGTTTTTGTACACTAAACACATGTAATATACTTCTTTGATTGTGTTTGTGATCGGTTATATTAGTTTTCTAGGGCTGCTGTTACAGAGAACCATGAACTGAATGGCTTAAAACAACAGGAGATT